TTTAAAAAAAGAATCCTTCATTTATGGGCTGGGGAGATAGCTCAGTGGCACAAGTACCTGCCTGCAAGCACAAGATCCTGAGTGCGATTCCTGGTACCAGAAGAGAAAAAAGATAATGCCCAGTGGCCACTGACCCTCAGAGTGACTCCTGGAACACGCACATGTCGCAGAAAAGTGCCTCTGCCGGGCTTAGCAATTGAGAATTTAATTGCTCTGTAATTGCTGAGTAACCTGGTCTATCCCAGCCAGGTGAATGCTAAGGTGGACAAACGGAGGGCTCTCTCTCTCTCTCAAGCCCCAGGCCTCCCTGCAGACCCCAGTTTGCTAGTGGGGAGCAGGTGACAGAGCTATGTGTGTTCCTCACACCATCCAACCTTTTCGGAGGGTTTTCCTACCTAACCACTGACCCCTTCAGAAGACAAACATGCCCCAGCGTCTGCTGCCACCTGTTGCCTTCTCCATTCAATTGTGCAGAGGCCCAGGGGCTGGGGGCCAGGGCAATGTGGGGCCCAGGAAGGATGCGGGGAGCTCTCTAAACTGACACAGCATACTAGGTGGGAAATCCAGCCTCCGAAAGAATTGTTGGTGGGAAAATGTAAAACTGAATGCAAAGAAAAGTGAAGCACTGGAAGCTTGCACGCTCGAATACGAACAGTGATCAATTCTATATGATGTGATTCAAATTTTCTTTTCCTATTCATAGTTGTATTCTCCATATTTCTGTTATAAACTTTCTATTTATTTTTTGCAGTGATAACTTTCCAGGCAAGTGCTTATTCTATTGAGCCATTATTTTTAATTTATTTTTTTGGTGGAACCGGGGATTGAACTCAGGCCCTTATGCTTGCCAAGCCAGTGGTTATTCTACTGAGCCATCTCCCCGGCCCCTTGTATTCTCCATATTTCCAACAACTAGGGTGCATAACATAATCAGAAGAAACACATGTTATTTAAAACCAAATGAAATGGCTAGAAGGATTTCTCTTGAGAAGAACATAAAAACCTAATATATCATTGTGGAGCTGGTCTTGCTTCCAGCTCCAGATTGATACCTTTTTTTTTTTTTTTTTGGAACCGGGGATTGAACCCAGGCCATTGCTCTTGCCAGGGAAGCACTTATTCCACTGAGCCATCTCCCCAGCCCCAGATCGGTACCTTTGCCATGGTCCCCAACTTCTGGCTACCCCAGACTCCTCATCTGTGCAGGGGCACAGACCATGGGGCAGCGTCCCTGGCATGTTCAGTACCTATAAGTGTCTCTTCTGTCTTGGAGTAAGGGTGGAATGAATGAGAAAGGAGTGAGGATCAAAAGGCTGCCGGGGCTGAGAGCGCCCTCAGGACTCAGGTACTCGCTTCCTTCCTTCCCTCCCCTGCCCGGCATTCTCCTGCCAGTTCCTCCCATTGCTCCAGTAGCAGCAATCTTCCTCCTCTCAGCCCCATTACTACCCATGGAGACAAATGGGCTGCAATTCTGCTCCACCTGGGAGGCAGCTGGCCAGCTCCAGGGTCATTGTTCCCGATGTCACCAAGAGCCCAGAAGGGAGGGGACCAGTGGGATCCAAGTAGGACTGCAATTATCAGCCTATTCAGCTCCCCAGAATAAAGCCCTGCCATTAGCTAGCAGCAGGGAGGGGCATCAGGAGCTCTCCAGCCTCTGGGAAGAAAGAGCCTGGCACAGGCTGCAAGGGCCTCACCTGCCCATTAACCTGGCAGGCCTGGGGGTGATTGCCCAGGCCTGAGTGGAGCCCAGGATCATCTTCCCTGTCATGCAGTCTCAGAACCTTCACCGCCTCACAGCCAATCCCTTGTGTACAACTCCCCTACCCCCCTCCCTATGCCTCCACAGATCCCAGAAACTTTCGGACTTTCCCCACCTTGGTCTTTCCACCCTGGGCCATACTGCTCCCTGCAGGCTCTCCTGCAAAGAGCTGGGGAAGGCTGTCCCAGCCCTCAGCAAGGCTGTCCTGAGGTTTCCATGTCTCTTTAGGAGCTGGTCAGAATGTCTCAGGCCCCAGGGTCTCTGGGACACATGGTGGAGCTAAAACAGCTGACCAGGTAGGCGAGCTGCTGCCGCAGCCCTCCAAGACTCAGGAGAGGGACATTTTCTCAGCCTGGCAGCAAGGGGTGGGCCCGGGAGGGGCAGGCACAGTGTGCACTCATGCTGACGTTGGCCTCAGCCTGAGTGCAGAGGCGGCAGGGAACCCCCATAGCCGGCTGTATCCACACACCAGAGACCCGGGGATCAACTGATTGGGGCTGGGCTCCCCACTGAGTTGTCTGTGGAGCCTGACTGATCGGCTTGTCCCTGGAAGTCCTCTGAGGAGGCCATAACTGGGCTGGAGACTGGGAAGTAGGCAGAAGCAGGACTTGCCTCACAGCACCCAGGGGCCCAGGGGGCTCTGGGCCCACTCTCCTGTGCTGGGGCCTCAGCCTGGGCTTTGACCTTGGGACCCAATCCTGGATGGCTCCCTGGGAAGTCTGGGCCACGCTTTATGCTCTACAGAGGTGCGACATCTGTTTAGGGAAAGTGACCAGTGTGAAGGGGTCATGGAAAGATTGGGGGGCAGGGATGCTGAGAGTCTGGGGGGACAGGATTCCCTTGGGGAGCCAAGAACAGATGGACCAACTGGCACACACCCTGCTGGGCTGTACAGAAGACACCCAGAAGCCTCTTCCCAACAGGCCAAGACAGACATCACACAGAGAAACAGACAGACAGACAGACAGACAGACAGACAGACAGACAGACAGGCTCTAGGAGACTACATACCACACGGGCAGACAGGATAAAACAACAGGAACTACAGACAAGCAGCAGCTGAAGCTCTGGGCGTCCTGGAGGCCAGAGCCTCTGCTCAGGCAGGCCACCATAATGGGCAGGGCTCATAGGCCCCTCCGTAATTCTTCCCCCTCCGGCTCCCTCCCCCCAACCTCCAGCCACCAACCTCAGTGCCTGCACCTCCAAGGGGAGGACAGATGACAGACACTTGGGGAGCTAAGATAATGGATTGCTTGACATCCACCCCAAGCCTTGGAAACAACCCCAGTCCTCTGCAGTCTTGGCCCCCATTAGGGCCTCTCCCACAGCCTTCCCTGCCCCTCAGAACCTACCTTTTCAGTTGCTGCAGGCGCACAGTAACTTCTCCCACCCTGCCCCCCCTGAGCTGGGGCTGCATGCAGGCAGAGGAGAGGTGGCATGTTCAGGAGCATGAGGGGTGGGAAGGAGACAAAGACAGGAATGTGCCAGACCCGAGCAAGACACCTGTCACCCGTCCCTGGCAGGCCTGGCTTCCTGAGCATGCGTTACCCCACATCGACACAGCTCTCTCCTTAGTGTCTGTAACGTGCTCCCTGAGGTGAGTTGAAGTCATGGGGCGGGAAGCAAACTTCACTCCTGCCTGGGAAGGCCACTGTCAGGAAGGAGACTCAGGAAGTGTCCCAGGAAGGAGAAAGGGCCCTTCTGCCACCTCCTCCTTTGTCACCTTGGTGTTTCATGGAGCGCCACTCTTCCTTTTTCCTCTTCCTCTACTGTGTCACTCTCCCACTGCCCCCTTCCAATTTCTAGGTGAGTCATTTTCAATTTGGGGATTTCCTAATGTGACACTAGATGGGGGGTTTCCAGGGCTCCATAATCCCTGGGCCTGGTCCAAAACTTGGCACAGAGACCACACAAAGCGCCAAACAATAGCACAGGACCAGCTGCAGGGTGCCTTCACCTCTCCCTGGGCCTTGGACTGAAGGCCTTCCAAGATGACCCCATCATCTCTGCCCCAGAGTCCTGCCTCCTTTTCTGGCTTCTTCTGACCTCCCCTCATGAGAATTCAAGTGCCACTGCCTTTGAGGGGTGCTTTTCTGTGCCTCTAGGTCAGCAGCCACCACCTCTGATAGCTATGGGATTATTTCTAAGGACAAAAAGGAAAAATATCATAGAGTGCTGAATCTTACACATGAAAATGGTGAGCACTGGGAGCCAATGCCCCAAGTTCCAGACAGCCAGTGGCATTTACCGGTCACCACACACAGGTCTTGAGTCTTTGGACCTGCAGCCTTCTCTCACGTAGGAAAAGGATAATATCCTGCCTGTCTGGCTTCACTGAGAAGCCGGAATGCACGAGACTATACGTAAATGCTACTTTACAGATGAAGAAACTGAGCCTGGGCATTGCATACATGGCCTCAATTCGTTCTCGAATCAGGAGTCTGGGGAGAGGGCCCACTTCAAGCCAGAAACCAAATGAGGTAAAGAACAAGTCAAGAAAAGAGAAATTGGCAGAAGTGAGGCAAAAAATGAGATAAGAGAAAGAAGGGAACAAAGTGTCAAAGAGTAGATGGAAGCGCAGGGTGTGGACTTCACATCAGGGCAGGGACACTGAGAGGGGCACAATGGATCAGGCGATGGCATGGAGGACAGGGGCTGCAAGGAAAGGAGACAGAGGAGTAGGCATGGCCCGAAAAGCAAAGACACCAAGCCCTGCCTGTCAACAACCCCCTTCCTTCCCAGCACTCAGTCAACTCAGCCGGCATGAGCAATCCTCAAAATTAAGCCAGTCACCCCAGCTCTTCCCAGAAGGAGAAAATTGGAAAGAAAAATATAAATCTTTGCTGAAAGAGCCTGATAGGAAGGTCTGGTGTCCATCGGGCTCAAACACTGTGCTATGTGACATGTATTATCAGATTGGTGTTTCTTGCTGTTTATCAAAATTATATTTCATATCAGCCCCTCAGAAGGCAGAAGCGTAGGTCAAGAGATGGAATGGCAGGGCGTGATGACCTTAAATGTTAGGAATGGTTCTTCTGGGTCCTGAGGAAGGAAAGAGAGACAGAATGGAAGGGGATAATGAGATGGGCCATGTTCAGAGTGGTGCTGGGGCCGAAGCTGAAGGGATGGAGATGGAAACAAGTAAGGCCATGCTAGACTCCAAAGAAGGCCCAGGAGTTGGGTGCTGAGAGGAGGGAAGGGTGTGGGAGGCAGTGGGGAGGAGGGGGCTCCCGGGTCCCACCTGTGGGAGGCCAGGTCGGAGCAGGCAGGCTTCTGCTCGGCGTCAGCAGCTGGGCAGCAGAACTGGTGCAGCACGGTCTCATTCCTGTGAGCAGAACAGAGAAGGTCAGGGTGTGGTGAACCAGACTGGGCCAGCTCCACCGCATACTACTGCATTTTTGTCTCACTCCTTGCTGCCTCTTCTGTGCCACCTGAGCCCCTGTGTGACATGGGTGGCTGAATATTGCTGCGGAGAAGTGCACCGCACTAGGTCATGTCTACCAAAATCTTGTTCTGTCAGCTCTAGGCCCAGTTTAACAGCCACCTCCTGTACGGAGCTTCCGTGGCCAGCCCAGGCTCCCTGCTTCTGGACCCCATCTCTGTAGGGAGGGTTTACCATTTGTCCTGCTCTATCTCTTCTCCTAGCTCTTCATGATGCTGTTTTCGACTAAGGTCCTGCAAGATCTGCAGGCACTAAACATCTTCAAACTGATCAGATGCGAAGACACAGAGCATTTAGATGGAGACTTTTATCTTGCCAGCTAGGACTCCAAGGCTTGGCATTTGATAAAGGGTTGGTTTGACATAAAAGAGGAAGCCAACCCAGGAAGCAGGAATTTGGGTTCCAGGACCAACTCTGCAGCTGGCCAGGGATATGATACACAGACTATGAATACCTGGTGACAGAAGAGGTAATCCAGTGAGTTCATAAATGTGTAGAAAGGTGCTCCACATTACTAATTCTTTTTTTTTCTTTTGTATTTTTATTCTTTTTATACAGGGTCTTGCTACACAGTTCAAACTCATAGTGATCCTCCTATTTTAGCGTCCCCAGTGCTGGGATTACAGGCATGTGCCACCATGCTTGGGGTTCTGGGGCCAGCATGGCATGCAGTACTAGGGATCGAACTCAGGGCCTTGTGCTTGCCAGGCAGGTGCTTATGCCACCTAGCTATCTCTCCAGTCCTGACTTTTTTTTTTTACATTTTTTTCATAATTTTATTGATAAACAAATAGCAATGAGACAGTTTCAAATCAAATCGCTAGGATAGTTTCAATAATTAACACACTGCATACATTCTTCGCAACTTTTTTTTATTGAGTCCTAACTTATTTACTATTGAAATCACTGAGATGAACAAGAGCAGTGGTTCTTGACACACACTGCCTATTAGAATCACCAGCTTATTAGAAATACCACTACGTGGGTTCTAGCAGACTCTCAGTAGTATAGTCTGGCAGGACCCATGGCACCAGGACTTTCTATAAATTTCCAGGGGATTCTAAAGGGAGTGTTCCGACTTGCATCTGGATGTCCCCAGAAGCCTCACGCAGGCATGAGTGCCTTCTGAGGATGGCTGTATCCATTGTCTGGACCTGGGATTATGGGTGTGAGTGTCACAGCCACCCGAGGGTGGCAGCCTGCACACAACAGAAGGGACAAAAAGAGTCTTCTGTGGCTCTCCTCCTTTTCGCTCTTGTAGCTTAGCTGTCTCCCGCCACCATGAGCTGCTGCCCTCTGCCAGGCGCCGCCCTGCCTTGGAGCCAGCTGATTGTGAACTGAAACCTCCACAAACTGTGAGCTAAGTAAACCTTTCTTGTCTTCATTTTGGGCATCGAGTATATTGTCTCAGCAACAAGAGAAAAGTAACCCACACAGGGAGCCGAGACCCAGAAGCAGTAGACTAGATTTTCAAGTCCGCCTTGCTCTGAAATGCTGTGATTCTGAATCCACAGTTAATACTGCAGCCATCGTTGGCTGAAACTATGCTGATCTGTCGCACACTCTGTCTTACTAGTTGGTCCCCATCCTGGGCTTTCTGGAGCCAGAGAATGTCAGGCCTGGACAGTCTCCGGAGAGTATATGGAAAGGGTCTTTAGACTTTGTAACCTAAACTAAGAACATTTGTCCAAAGCAAACATTTATCAGAAGTCCATTTTGTGGAATAACAAACCCAGAACAGCTCCTTGGTTGGGGGGTGGGGGGGAAGTCCACAGTCTTTTCTCAGCCTCGCTTTTGGGATCCTTTTTTTTTTTTCTTCTCTCTTTCTCCTTTGGTATTAGGAATTGAACGCAGAACCTTGTGCTTACCAAGCAGGTTCTATGCCACTGAGCTCTATACCTAGCCCTAGCCTCACTTTTGGTAGCCACCTCCCTGGCTCATTTTGGGAGCCCCTCCACTCTGAGATTATGGAGAGAAAATGCTGAGTTTAGCTATCGTCATAGTAGAAGGTAATACTGACTGGTGCATACCTTAATTTGACAAAATAAATGCCAAGAGAGTATATGTCTAAATGAAAAAAAATATTCAGAAGAAAACAAGGAATAAGTGCTTGCCTGGCAAGCGCAAGGGCCTGAGTTCAATCCCCGGCTCCGCCAAATAAAAAAAAAGAAAAAAAAACAAGGATATAGCTTATGAGTTTGGAAGATTTTAAAAACAAAACAGAGTTCGAGGTCAGCCTGCACCACATAGTAAGACCCTGTATAAAGAGAAAGATAGACTAAGAAAATATATTTGCACCACATATGATAGAAAGTAGGTTAGTATTCATCCCACTCTGAGCTCTGTTATGGTTTGTGTCTAGCTGCCCCCCCCCCCCCACAAAGCCTCATGGGCAGATGCAGCTGGAGAAGCAACGGGTGGCCTGAGGGGCGGGGCCAGAGGACCAGGGCGGAGCCAGATGACCAGGGCGGGGCCAGATGACCAGGGCGGGGCCAGAGAGGCGTGAATCATTAAACTGGCTCGCCTGTGCTGTCTCAGAGGTGTGGAGCGGGTCATCCTGGACACGGCAGCGCCCCAGCCTCTCCTCCAGTGTCTTGAAGCCTCCAGTAACTGCGAGCTAAATAAACCTTTCCTTCCCTCATTTTGAATATCGGGTATTTGCCACGAAGACAAGCTCCAACACACTCTTTAGACAAAGATGAACCCAGGAGAAAAAATAGGCAGACTGTGAATAGCTAGTGACAGAAGAGGTAATCCAAAGAGCTCATAAACATGTAGAAAGGCACTCCACATTACTAATTCATGCAAATTAAAGTAGTACTGAGATGCTGTAATTCACTCATCAGACTGACAAACATTAAAAAGACTGTTAAAAACAAGTGTTGGTGAGGTTGTGGGGAAAGCATTATTCTCAGGCACTACCTATGTAGTGCAAATTTTTACCATTCTTTTTTGGAATTAACAAAGAAATATGATTTCTGATCCAGAAGTTCTACCTCTGGGACTAGATTTCATACTTGCAGAAGTAGAAGTACTGGCTCATAAATTATTTATTTTAATTTTCATGGCAGTACTATTTTGGTGGTGGGAGAGGACAACCAGAAACAACCTGGGTGACCATCTACCACAGAATGGCTGAATAAATTTTGATACCCATATCTTGGAATTATGAACCATTCAACAAGAGCCAGGTAACATTGTATCTCTTGGATGGATTTGCACAATGTATAGCTAAGTAAAAATAGTAATTTTCAGATATCTATTTATCTATCTATATAGATATAGATATATATCTTAGTTTTGTAAAACAAACATGACCCCTCTCCCCCATCCAAATTTTGTACATGTGCTCTATATGAATGTACTATATTTTATGAGTGCAAATTACCTGTTTACTGTGGCTACCATAGCAGGCTGACAATAGGGAAAAAGAGTGGAGGCAGGAAAAGGAGAGACAGTGTTGGTGTGCTGGTAACTGAAGTGTTTCTCATCTATGATGTTACTTTTTAATCTTGCTTGCCACGCTGACTTGGAGAGGTGACTGGATTGTGCAGGCAGAGAGTAATCCCACCCAGGGTGAAGCCACTGCTGAGTTCCCAGTGCAGGGCGCCTAGGAGCTGGGCCTGGTGGGCGTGGGCGGAAGCAAGTGCTGGAGCGGGGGCTGAGCCTGGCCCCTGTGTCTGGTTTCTGGCCCTTTCCTCTTGGGCTCTTGCCCTGCTCCCTGCTTCGCAGCAGCCATGATGTGAGCGGCTTTCTTCTGCCCCCTGCTTCTGCCACCAGGTTTGTGTCTCTGACATCATCAGCCAAAAGAACCTCTCCTCCTTTAAGTGGTGTGTGGTAAGCATTTTGCTCACAGTGACAAACAGCTGACTGACATGTGCTGCAGATACATTAAAATTGAATGTACCTGGAAGACTAAAATGTGTCAGAAACCAGTACAAACATTGTTGTCTCAGAATGGAATTATGAGGGAAAAGAAAACTTTTTTTCACTGAGGACTTACAGTGAACTATACCTCTGCATTTTTATGTTTTATTTTGAGACAGGGTCTCCCTGGGTAGGACCTGCCTTCTTCAGCCTCCTGAAGGATTGCAGGTGCCTACTGTTAAGTTCAGCTTATGAACAATTTTTTGGTCACAAATGGTTACTAGATCATTGAATATAAATTATATGCAATCTATAAAACATCAATTAAAAAATAATGCAATTGGGGCTGGGGAGATGGCTCAGTGGAATAAGCACTTCCCTGGCAAGTGCAAGGCCCTGAGTTCAATCCCGGGTTCCGGAGGAAAAAGGAAAAAAAAAAAATGGTTGACCATAGTTTTGGGCTGGAGAGATGGCTCAGTGGTCTAAAGCACCTACTTAGAACAAGCTTCGCAAAGCAAGGGACCGCGGTTCAATCCCCAGCACCACATGCCAGCCAGCTCCGCCCCCTGGTGGGCTGAGCTGGCCACACACACACACACACACACACACACACACACACACTAAATAAATGTTAAAAAAAAATTTTAAAAAAATGCAATTAATATAATACTTTAAAAGGGCATGGACTGAGGACTCAGCTCAGAGGTACAGCATGTGTGTAGCTTGTGCCAGGCCTGGATTCTACTCCCAGCACTGCAGAAAAATGTAAATAAATAAATAAATAGTACAGAAAACAAAAACTAACCCTGGTCCATTATTTTACAAGTGGGGAAAACAGGCTTACAGTGAAAAGCACTGTTTAAAGTTGTCCCCTGCTAAGTCCCTGTCAGTTTGCCAGCCTCCCTCGTGTTCCTGCCAACCTTCCCAGAGTTGCTGGGGTAAATCAAGGCCTTGGAGAACTTCCTGGAACCTGAAGGTCTTGTGGCTGCACCCAGAGCTTCCTGGCCTGAAGAAAA